GTCTCACTTTGTGGCCCTTGATAGAGTGCCATGGCATCATAACTCACAGCAACCTCCAACTCTTGGGCTCAAGTGATTCTCTTGCCTCAGCCTCCCCAGTAGCTGGGACTATAGGCACCCGCCACAACACCCAGCGTTTTCTTTTTTTTTTGCAGAGATGAGGTCTTGCTCTGGCTCAGGCTGGTCTCGAACTCCTGAGCTCAGGGCAATCCACCTGCCTCACCCTCCCAAAGTGCTGGGATTACAGGCATGAGCCACTGCGGCCAACCAAGTCCCGCATTTGTTTTGAATGAAAACTAACATACAGGATGGCGCCTGTGGTTCAGTGAGTAGGGTGCCGGCCTCATATACTGAGGGTAGCAGGTTCGAACCCAGCCCCAGCCAAACTGCAACAAAAAAAATAGCTGGGCATTGTGGTGGGCGCCTGTAGTCCCAGCTACTTGGGAGGCTGAGGCAAGAGAATAGCCTAAGCCCAGGAGTTGGAGGCTGCTATGAGCTATGATGCCATGGCACTCTATCCAGGGCAATAAAGTGAGACTGTCTCTTAAAAAAAAAAAAACTAACATATGGTACTGAAGAAGCATTTAAAAGTGCAAAGAGCTGTGACCCAAACCTACAGAACAGACTGTATGTCTGTCTTTGAGCCAGCAAGGTGATAGCTATCTTTTTGAGTGTATTAAAAAAAGGAAGAGAGAGGAAGAGGAAGAAGAGCAAGAGGGAGCTGAAGGAGGAGGAGAAGGATGAAGGGGGTGAAGGGGATGAAGAGGAGAAGGGGGAATAAGAGAGAAGAATGAAGAAGAAGGAAGAAAGAACAAAAAGGGATCAAAAGAGAGAAAAACAGATGTCACAGAGAAGAAAAAGAAAATTGCAAACCAGAGCAGCATCACAAAGGACACCAGCATGCATGAAAAGAAAGGGGATGCTATACTAACTCTTGGAATCCACAGAAACCAATATAACGATCACAGATAATAGAGTGGAGGCCCAGGAATAGATTTTGTTTCATGATCTCTCTATAGGACAATGTTAAAAACAAGCTTTGCCAGGTAAGAACCAGGCAAGTCCAAGCCATTGGGATGACAGATAAGCATGTCTTTAAAAGAAAAGCAGCTGGAGTTCCTGGATGACTTCCAACCCATGCCAGGGTGCCTCCTACTGCCCACACTTAGCCCCTGGAGAGCACACACATACCTGGCCTTGTGTATTTTCAACTTCTCCCGCATGAGATGCTCATACATCACAGGTATCTTCATTGCTGACCGAACCTGACGACTTGTGCTATAAATATGCTTTGGAACAAAATGCCCCGAGCCACGCGTATTTTTTACAACTCTAGTCACTATCCGCCACATCAGTTGTGTATTAGAAGGAAAAGGCAACTCTGTGTGGTGACAAGTAAACATGTAAGTCAGGCAGCTTCTATTCCCAAAACCCTGGTGTAGGCAAGTATCCGACCTCTGCCCACCCCACATGCTGAGACTGTAAGGCAAGAGGCTGAAAATATCAATGCTGCTGCCCCAGTTACTATGAGACAGAAGCAAACAGGAGGTGGAAGAAGGGAGATAATACCTTTATTTTTGAGTTGAACCTCAAGGTTATTGATGGAATCATGGGCATTAAGGAACCTGAATGGAAACTGCCGACTGTGGATCACCGACTTCTGGAAAGTAAAGGAAGGGTCATGAGCAGAGAATTGGGGAGTATGAAGGTCTTCAGAGATTTCAAGAAGCAGGACGATGAGGTAACCACTCTATTAGTTTCATGGGAGGGGAAAGAAAGACAAAATGAAATTTAAAGATAGAAAAGGAGGAGTAAGAAAAGAAAGTTGTCATTTTGAGTATGAGAAAAAGTAAAAAATAAAAAAGAGGAAATAGGGTGGCACCGGCCCCATATACCGAAAAGTGGTGGGTTCAAACCCGGCCCCGGCCAAACTGCAACAAAAAAAATAGCTGGGTGTTGTGGCTGGTGCCTGTGGTCCCAGCTACTCAGGAGGCTGAGGCAAGAGAATCACCTAAGCCCAAGAGCTGGAGGTTGCTGTGAGCTGTGATGCCACAGCACTGTACCCAAGGGGACAGCTTGAGGCTCTGTCTCAAAAAAAAAAAAAAAAAAAAGAAGAAGAAGAAGG